GTCACCATGATGAAGTCACTGTGAAGTTTTCGAAGGTAATTGATTTTTCTGAATTAATGGTTTCATTAACACTGCTGTCTGGAATTCTACTTTGCTGCAAATTAAATAGGAAATGTTAATGTGTAACAAAGAGTACAGCTTTGGTCTAGATGGGTGGGATAGAAGTCCAAATAAATAAATAAATAAATAAACAAACAAAATTATTACAGCAAGGAACTCCTTGGTTTTTGGATAGGCTTTAGGTAACTTACTGCAGCTGATTGATGAGATGATGGGGCAGGTTGCAGTTTTTATGTCTGGTAAGACAGCCAGTTGTGCAACCAACTGGCACATTGTTATATATGCTGCCCTGGCACATTGTTAATTAGCTGCAACAAGTTACACAAACTTTACACAAACACCAAGAGGATCCAGGTGATTAGTTACTGGCCAGAATCACATTGGTAATGGTGCTAAGTATTCTGTAACTTGCCACAGCTCATTGTGACCAATTGATAAGGCGCTGGGGTACATCTTGCTTCTGCAGTCAGACATGTGAGCACCATGCAGCAAGGATGCATCCCAGCACCTCATCAATTAGTCACAATTAGTTGCAGCAAGCCTTAGACAAATACCAATACGATTCTGGTCACTAAGAGATAAAGCTGTCTGTGTGTTTATACCTTGCTAGTGAGTTAAACAGCAGCTGACTGCATCCTCATCTAGTGTACTGTACTCATAACTATAAAGGGTGAAAAGATCAGATACTTCCAACAGTTGTAGTATTCACCGTAACAGCCAGTTTAGAGTAGTGGATAGAGTCTCAGCAAGACTCAGGAGACCTGGGTTTAAATCCCTACTTGACCATGGAAATTCATTGGTGGGTAGCAGTGTTTAAATTACTCTTCAAATATATGGCATACCCCAGAAACCCTACCATAATTGACTTGATAAGATGTAACAGACACTACTCCCAGGTAAATCCTGTTCAATACAGTGGGATTGACTTCTAGGTAAATGTGCAGAGTATTGCAGCCCATATACCTTATATCTATTAAGCTGGCAAAGCGAAAGGAAAATATTGTATCACTTTAAATACTGTCATACAGTATTTAAATGTGTGGTTTTATGTACCAAAATCTCCTTCTGGCCTGGGATTACAAATATCTCTCTCCTGTATTGTGAGATTCATATCTAGGTTGTTTTTTTGTAAAACTTTATTTTAGACAATCACATTACAAACAGAAAATACAATTAACCATTCATTTTACTATTTTAACATTCTAAACACCAGCTATTCACAGTTTAACAAAATTAATCTCGAATCCTCATTCCACCCTACAAAGTTCCCGACCAACAATCTGAGCAATCTAGATTATTTCCTAAATCATGTGACTTATCATTTAGTTCATTGGTGTGTTTTAATAAAGGTTTCCAAGTTTTGAAAAACTGACTGTGCTTTATTTCTCCTCTGTATATTCTGATCTTATTAGTCAATTTCTCCATCAAGAACGTTTGTCATATCAAAAAATGCCTATAATGAAAGATCTTGGGCATTTTTCCAGCTTTTAGCAATCTCACACTTTGCTGTTCCTATATTTGTAATTAGGTCTTTATTAAGTAGCTTCTCATTTCCCTCTGTAAATGCTGAAAATCATAGTGATGTTTCATTCGTGATTATTTTTTATTGGTCAGCATTTATCTCCAATTGATGACACCATGCCCAAATGCTTCTATTTTGGGGCAAAAAATCCACGTGTTCCATTTCGTCCATATTTTCTCCAACATTTATCTGATATATCCATTAGTTTTATGTACCTTCATAGGGTATAGATGCCATCTGTGAACAACTTTCAGAACCATTTATTTCATTTTAGCTGATACTGATTTATATGGATATTTATTCCGTATTCCTGTCCAAAACTCTTGAGGTATATTAATATTTAAATTCGTTTCCCAACTCTTGAGGTATTATTAATATTTAAAATCGTTTCCCAGGACGCTTTGGCTCCTCTGCCCTTACCATGTTCTTTCTCAATGATTCTTTTATTTTTATATACAGTATGGTTCAAATTCTGTTAATAGTCTTAATAAGGCCAGATTTTTTTATAAAATTGTATTGCAAAGTTCCTTATTTGTTTTACTGGTAGCCAACTGGTTCTTATTTGCTTTGTTTTCTCTTCTATTTGTCTAACAGCAAGTGATTCCCCCAATTCAAAGAAATCCTTAATTTTATATATTTCAGTTTGTTTCCAATGTTTAAATTGTATTTCTCATGAGATTTATTGTGTTTTATTGTTTTATCTTACATTGGGAGCCGCCTAGAGTGGACGAGTAGTCCAGATAGGCGGGGTATAAACAAACAAACAAACAAACAAATAAGATTTAAAGTCTGGGTGATCCAATAGAGGACATAAGGGGGATGTTGGGTGAGCAAAAGTTTTCATATATTTTTATCATATCCTTAATGTTTAAGAAAATAAAAGGATTCTTTATTTATTCTCTTTTTCTAAATATGCATATTTACAATATCAGTTTTTCCACTACCCTCCATTTCAACCCAGTCAGGGATTTCTTGAATTTCTTCTGTCTGTATAAATGTAGTAATTTGATTTATTTGTAAAGCTTCATAATATTTGTACAAATGTGGTATCCCTAATCCTCCTTTTGCCCTTATCCATGTTTAACACAATTTAAAAATCTTATCTTCTTTCTCTTTCCCACAATAAACTTTTTAAAATTTCTTGCCATCATTTTTTTAACATCCAAAATAGGTATGTTTTGGAATAAAAATAAAAATTTTGGTAATATTTAAGTTTTAACAAAGGCTTTCTCCCTAACGTTGACAAATTCAAATTGGCCCACTTTAGGATTTTTTTCTTTTGTCCATTTGAATTTTTTTAAAATAATTTCTACAAATTAAAAGATTTAAATTTTTTGTTATCCATAGTCCTAAATATTTAAAAGTCGAATAATATAGCTCTAAGTGAGATTCATATCTAGGTGAGGTTACTGATAATAGACAAAGTGGCAATGGTTTGTTAACACAGAAATAGACTATCAAGCTAATTTGACAAACTTTAGCTGGTCTGTTAAACTATGTGCACGTGGCTGTCGTAGGTGTGCTAAGAGTTATTGATGCTGGATATTTCAATACTTTACGCCTCTGAAGTTCAGAGTTCGAATCCCACACTGTGCCTCTTTGATAGGGGCTGGACTTGATGATCATAAGGTCTCCTCTGACTCTGCAATTCTAAGATGATGATGACAGAACAATGGCTTCTGAAAGCCTATGGAGGAAAGCTGCTGCACATGGATTACAGTATTCTGATCTGAAGAAAAGTCACACATTGCATACTGCACATACAAAGCTAATACAGCAGGAAGATGTTTAGACAAGCATTTGTCTTCTTAATCATTGAGGCTTAATGTCCGGTTTCCATTACTGGGTGCTGGTGGGAGAATGGGTAGAGATTCTTTTTCTATGGAGGATTCACACCAAATCTTCCCCATTTTCTTCACACAATCTGCCAGCATCTCAGGACTATTAAGGTGGTATCAGGATAAGTGCAGCAACATTCATTTAAATTTCAAATGCAATTTTGTTATACTTATTCTGATAACTGAAAGAGGCCTAGCAATAAATTTGAAAGTAAGCATGCAAGGGGGAGCAACAGAGAAATAAAAAACCAGATGAGATTGGGAATCTTAGCCTTCCTTGATTTTTACTAACCACTTGTAGAATGTTGTCCTTCGGTTGGTTCTCAGAGATGTGTCATTGCTTCTAGATACATACTACTTCTTGTCAATAAATTCTTTCAGCTAGAATTCTGTAGGTTTCAGCCTATAGGCCCATATCTACATTTCGCTCACCTGGAGCAGGGCCTATCTGTGGTCATTTTGAACAGATAGGCGGGGTATAAAATAAATAAATAAATATCTCAGACTGCTTGGCTGTTTCAGGTCCTACTTCCTGTAAAAAAAAAAGGGAAGCTGTCACAGTACACAGCTGTCCTGGGAGTCATAGGGTCACTGCCCTTTAGACTTTATAGAGTGCCTCCCAAAGAACTATTAAATAAAGCAATCAGAAAGCAATCCTGATTGCTTCTTCCTCCTTTGAGAAAAGTCATAATTCCTTCATTCTTTGCAACGACTGGCTGGTTATGGAGGTTGCTTCTATATTGTCCTTAGCACATTTTTCCAAATCCTGAAGCCAACTCTTCAAGCTGCTGCATTCAAGCCACTATTTACCTTGAATGGATTTCTTGGAACAAAACATACAAGTTATTCCTTTTATTTAACTCTAAGCTTCCTGGATGATTTCCTGCTGCACTCTTAAAATTTATTTCTACCAAGTAAAACGAATAAGCCAAACCTCACTTGCTTTTCTATTAGTTTTAGCCTAGAGGAGCTACTAGTGTGATGTACTCCACCGAGTGATTGCTAAAACTCACAAGACGTGATTTAAAATCCCTGCTTGGCCAGGGAAACTCAACAGACCTCCCTCCTTCATATTCTACATACATTGAAAACCACAACCATAGGTCACATATAAATCAGGTATGTGACTTTATAGCCCCTAGCAGCAGCTAAGCTAAATATGGTTAAACCACTGGACTTCCAGATGCTTTCGACTCCAGCTCCCCATCCGACACCATTCCAAATGCTGCAAGGGGATAATGGGACTCCTAGTCCAAACCCCTGAAAGACCGCAGGTGCCCCACTCTTATTTTAGACCTACACACGAGGGTCTCCAGAGGCGTTGGGTCACACCCACACCCATTGCCTCAGGAGGCGGGGAAGTATGGGATTTGTAGCCCCACCCCTCTGGAGGGGCCCCCCGAATTGGCGAAGGCTGCCATGACAACCGCCGCCCCTTCCCAACGCATGCGCCTTCCTCCCTCTCGCCGCCGGCGGTTTAGGCTCCACCCCCTCCGCGCTCCCAAGCCTCCCGCTACATTCGGCCTCTTTCGTCACTTCCTGGGGGCGTGGCGGGGCGGGCGGAGTGGGAGGGGGGAGGAGAGCGAGCGAGAGAGACCCTGCGTGACGGGGCGCGAGAGGCGTCCGCGCGCTCCATGATGGCGGCTGGGAGGCAGCCGCGGCAGGAGCAGCAGCAGCAGCAGCAGCAGCCGGAGCTCCGGAGCCCCGTGTGGCGGCGGGTGCTGGAGCTGGGTCTTCCGCCCCGTAGCTAAAAGGCAGCGCCCGGGCCCTGCGCAGATGGGGAGCGGGAGCAGCGGTTGCGAAAGAGGGCGGCGGAGGCGGCAGCAGCAGCGGCTACTACCAGCACCACCACCACCATCTCCTTCCCAGCAGTTGGATTAACTAAGTGGCGGCATATATATTTTTTTTGTTTCCTTCCATATTTTATTTTTTACTTCATTTTTTTTTAAAAGTTCAAGGGACGGGGCAAAAAAAGGAGGGAAACTCCTCGCCAGCAGCACAGGGGCTTGCGAGGCACCGTCAGACCGGCCGGTCGAGGGGATGTGGCGGTGGATCCGACAGCAGCTGGTAGGTGGGCTCTCTCTCTCTCTGTGGGTGTGTCTGTCTATATTAATTAATTCGTGTGTGTTAAATGAGCTCATTTGGGCGCCCGCCGGCAAGCGTGGGTCGGGTTTGTCGAGTTGCAAGGGGAGTCCCCCAAAGGCCATCTAGTCCTACCCCCTTGCCCAGGCAGGGTTAGAGATGGGAAGGCCTTGGGGGGGTGAGGAAAAAAATTGGAGGGTGGCTGGACAGGTTTTTATTTCCGTGTTGTTGTTTTTCCCCCAAAGCCCGTTTTTATTTTTTTTTATTTTTTTGTTTTTTAGTAATTGGGAAGGAAAATGTGGAGTGTGGAATATGTTGTTTTTACAGTGCTTAACAATATGTCTGTGACATGGTGTTCAAACTATATAGCTTGAGGACCTTAATGACAGACTTCTGAGACTTTATGTATTTTAAGTTTTCATTTTTCAGGAGTCTGTTGTTTCATTTAAGCCGGAGGAGGAGGAGGATCATCTCCTTTTCTAGTCTTCCAACTTTCTTGTCTCTCTCATTCAGTAGCTCTTGAGAAACTGCTCTTCTCCTTCCTGTTCTAGGATTATGTCACACCTTCCCAGAATCCCATCATCCTCACACGGTTTGATGTCAGGCTGGCCTTCATCCTTCCAACCCACACCAAGACCTGCTTTCCTTGTTTATTTTTTAATTGGGTTTCCTCCATCCTCTTTCCCTGGTGGCCCAAGTAACTTTTCCTGTTAATTCCTCTTGCTCTCATCCCCTCCTGCAAAGGGGTTTGGCTTCTGATGTCCGTGTTTTTGGGTGAGGGGAGCGAAGGGAGAAGTGGGTTAACCCTCCCTCCAAAATGCCTGCCTTCAATCTCATCATCTGTCAAGCAGATGAAGGATTCACCTTTTTTCCCCTTGGCTTTGGCCCTCTAATTATGGTGCAGTTTGTTTGTCTAGAGATGTAAAATGTGAACATGACACACCTGCGTTTGTAAATAGAGGTACGCCCACTGGGAAGATGTGACTGATTGCAGTTTCTTATTGCAAATTAGCTTAGTGACAAATCTAGGTTTTGCCATCCTTGATGGGCTGGATTTTTGTTATTTCTATTTATTTATTTATTTATTGCTACTTTAAATTTGCTCTTTCTTTCTTTTCCTTCAATCATCTGATCCCCAGAGCTAAGTATTTTTAGGAATAGTTTTAATGGTAGGAGGCGAGTGAGATGCAGGGCACTGATCATTCTGGAAAAGTTAGTTTTGAATCATCTGGGAAGCTGAGAGGAGGTGGAGGAAGTTGCAAGCAAACACCTTTCGACTTCAGATCCTTTATGAAAAAAGCACAATTGAACTGCAGCATTATATATGTATTTTTAAAGGGTCAGATGTTCCCCTTGACATTTGGTCTCTCTATTCATCCTTTTGAAAAATGGATAATTCAAGGTATCTCTGCTTCTTCAATGGAGTTTGAGCAGATTCTGTAGTTCTTTAATTGGTGATAGCTAAAACTGTCTTCGGACAGGCGCTGGCTCTATGGCTTGAAAAGCGGCATGAGCGCTGCCCTCTAAAGTCGGACATAACTGGACTGAAAATGTCAAGGGGAACCTTTACCTTACTTTGAAACCAAGACTACTTTTTCACCAAAACTTCGCAGCTGGAAGTATTTACTGTCTGATCCAGGAATTCTACTGTTGCTCAACAGTGCTATTTTATGGTCCATATGGAGATCGGGTTGTCTTTGATAACATTTGTCGAAAATAGCATCTTTCTAATTAAGCTGTTGGAGGGAAATACAGTTGCTTGTCTTTGGAGAAAGGTGTGCAAAGATCTATATACGACTCTTCCAGTTATTACTTTTTGAGGTTAGGCTACAGCCTGTTTTCCTCTGGGGAAGAGAACTTTGATGGTTTCATCGTAACAGTTTCTCTCTTAAACAGAACACTGTTTTCTATCTTATTCCAACCACTACCTAATTTCTGGCTTCTGATAACGGTTGCAGCAAAACACAGTAGTAAGGATGATTCAAAATTCAACCACATCCTTCCGGATATTTTTAGAACAAAAGTCTCGGATAGAAAGTAGCAAGTTCATTGGTGTCTTTGCTGAATCAGTGCACAATGCACTTAAGTGGTGTAATTCAGAATACAGTAACTGGCATGGTAAATCTTCAGCTCATTCCAGGCAGAAATAAACATCCATTGATAACTGCCTCTTTATGCAAGTAATTCATAAACTATAAACTTACAGAGTATTTAATAAAGTACTTACAATTTGCAAATCGCTACACGCTGAATCACACAAAATGTTTTAAGTAGTCCTGAAAGATTCTTCTGTTCAGTTCCTACAATCTGCTTCTTTTCCAGTTGATTGCAATCAGGTGTAAGACCTTAGCTTTTACAAATAATATATAATAATTGCATATTATCAAGTTGATTCTGGCTTAAGGCAGACCTTTCCAGGATTTCCTGGCACTAGAGTACGCAGAAGTGACTTATCATTCTCTTATTCTGGGGGCACTCTTGGAATGTGCTGCTTGCCCGAGGCTTATGTAGGCTGGCTCTTCTCTCGGAGACACAATGGAAAATCAAACTTGCAGTGTTTACCCTTCAGTCAGGTACATTGCATTGAATGAGCAGGAATAAAAGAGGTACATGGTGACATGTTTACAAAGTTACATTGATAACTGTATTCAAAATATTGTAAAGGAGAACCACCTTTTCACAAATTGGCTGTATTGTTAAGACATTTTCATTTTTATTTATTTAAAATGTTTTTATCCCAGCTTTCCTAAAAAGAAGTTAAGGTGGCTACTGGAGCTACAGTGTATTTACAGTATAAGTTTAGTAGCGCTTCCTTCCTTAGCTTTGAGGCTGTGATTATGATGTGCTAAAGTCAACTTGTGTTAGCCAGCTTCTGAATAAGGGCTTTTTGGAGACCCAGTCAGTCTTGCTAATCTGTCTCAGCAGGACTCTTAGTACATGGTATATCTGTAGCCACTGGAGTGAATTTGGTCTTGTTTTATTAAAGTTTCAGAATGATGTTTGATTTCGCAGAAGATGTTGAAATGAAAATTTTCTATTGCTATAAATGGAGTGTGTTGTGATTTGACATGATTTATTTATATTTATTAAATAAAACTTTTAACTTGATATTAGCTTGTTGATATTACTGTTATAATAGTTATTATTAGAGATGGGGGTATTCGTAAACAAATACAAATACCCCAGCACAGGTGGTGTTAATGAGGGTCCAGCCCCGTTAATGAGGGTCCTCACTCACTGATCCGCCATGGACAGTGCAATTTTACGAATGGCTCCGCAGCACGCAATCCACTAGCTACTCTTCAACCTTGCAGCAAGGCTTGTACACTGCAATTTTATGAATGGCTCCGCAGCACGCAATCCGCTAGCTACTCTTCAACCTTGCAGCAAGGCTTGGCCTCCTGCCAGGAGTGGCGAGCAGATTGCGCTCTGTGGAGCAGTTGGTAGAATTGCGCTGTCCGCGGTGGGTTGGTGACTAAAACGTCCGGCCCCCTGGGGCTGGACCCTCGTTAAAGCCACCTATGCGAGGATATTCATATTAGTTTGTGTATACCCCAATCTATAGTTATTATTTCTAGTAGTAATGGTGGTGCTTTTTCCAAGTTTTAACTAACCATTCATGGCTTCCTAGTACAGTAATCCTGAAATTGTAAACTGGTGGGATCGCTACTAATATGTCATAAGAGACAAACGTACGGTAGATCAATGTGGGTCTTCAAAGCTCAACCACTGAGATTTTCTTCCAGCAATATGCTATCTATTTATTTATTTATATTTATATCCCGCCTATCTGGTCAATTACGACCACTCTAGGCGACTATTCTAGTAGTTCAGCTGCACTTGGTAACTTTTAAGGCAGGCCAGATTAGTCTGTGTGTGTTTTGATCAAAATGCATGATCAACCAACAATTTTTTTTTTGGTAGAAGGAAAGGCAAAATATAAATGCAGCCAGCAAATTAGAATAAAAAAATAGATAAAATAAGCAATTTAAAAATGAAATTCACTGGGCTCATATAACTGAGTACTAAAAGTAACAACACTGATCTAAAAGAATGTTTGCTCTGCAAGAACAAAAGTTGAGGGCTTTACAATCATGTAGGATGTTGAGTTTCTGTATAGGCCATGAAGGTGAGGCTTTCCCTCCACCAGCATTCTGTGTGACTTGGTTGGAAAGGAAAGAGTTCTCCATTCTTTCTTCAACGTCCTGTTTACTTACCTTCATAAAATGTGTGCATTCGCCAGCATATAGTTTATAGTCATCTGTGGCTATAAATCTTATATAAAAGGCTAGAACTAGTGGATGTTCAAACTTCCTTTTGTTTTAGTAGATAGCCTCAGAAAAAGGGGAATGGTATACCACTTCTGTATATACCTAGAAAATCATGGAAATGGGTTGCCATGAGTTGGGATTGGCTTGGCGGCACACAATTGTTATTAGCTAGATTTTTCTGTCATAAAAGACTTAACCTTATGGTCACATGATATTTTAACAGCACTGAGACCATAGTACCTTCTGCCTGGCCGGGGACAGGAAACAGTCTCATTCTGTTGTTTTACCAGCCAATTGTTGTGGAATTTACATGGTGACACTGAGGGTTTGGATAGCCCTTTTTGCTAATAATTGGGTTCAGGAGCCTAATGAAAGGAAAGGGTCAGGCAAAGGATCTGGTTTCCTGTCAGTTAATTCACCTGTTGTGTCTTGTTTGATAGGTTTTTGTAAGCAGCTTTATGAGGACCTTTTCCTAAGAGGTGGGATATGAATATTTTAAGCATTGCTTGCATAGTTTTAGTAGATGCAGTTCCGTGACTTTCAGAAAAGGAGAGCAGTGTTTCAGACCTTTCGAAAGACTGGGTTCTAACTATGTCACTTAAGTTCAAAAATACTTAAGTGGTGACCATGCTTGCTTTATAGTTGTGCAATGTCACACTCGGACTCCTCCTCCTACTTTCTATTATACTCTCTGAAAGCTGTTTACTCTCCTCA